CAAGGCTAGAACCAGGGAGAAAATACACTTTCTTCTCTCTCAGCTAGAAATGAAATGATAAGCCAATAGGGGAGTGTAAAGGTTCTGACCCGCATAAGAGAATTATGAGTTCCTCTCTCACTGCGATGTGGAGGGGAAAGGACCCAGTTCTTCTCGCCTTGACATGGGGCCACTCCGGGAGCTAAATGTTGAGACACAGTTTGCCAAATTAGATCAGGCAGCAGGAGGGAAAACAGAGTGTGTGTGTGTGTGTGTGTGTGTGTGTGTGTGTGTCTGTGTGTCTGTGTGTGTGTGTGTGTCTGTGTGTGTGTGTGTGATGAGAAGGCAGGCTGGAGAAGATCTGGTAGATCCACATTTCTACCAAGCTCCCATCCTTGCAAAACCCTAGCTGCAGAATCCAGTGCCCCACTTCCTGGGAAATGTGGTTCCCCTTTGTACAAAGCCCAGGCCTTCCGCTGATGGAAGTCTCTGGACTTTTCAGAAGGAGCACCACCCTCCACCCAGACAAACATAAAGCTCTCAGCCCCCTCAAGGCCAGATACATGTCCACTGTATACCCATCCCCACTGTCCGCTTTTCTCCGGCTGTCCCAGGGCTACAGAGCACCACCAGGAGGCTGAAGACACAGTGGTTTATGGAGACTGGTCCTGCAGACTTGGAGTATAACACAGCGATATTTTTGAGTTACAGAGCAGTCATCAAGTGCTTATCCAAGAATCAACTTACACTTCAATGCCAAGGATTTAAGGCAGACGTGCGAACGCTCCTTCCATCAACAAGTGCTTCTGAGAGCCAGAGTTATGTAAGAAGCAACTTGCATTTGCCTCTGCAGAGATGACACAGCAAGCTGGGGACCAAATCCCCAGCCATATCCTTCCCAGTCCCTGGCCCCAGCTAGGTTCCTTCTACACACACACATACACACACACAGGCGTTTTTATCTAAACATTCACATTCCTCAAGCTACTTGAAGTAAACTTCAATTGTGAAAGTTTGGGGATTTTTTTTGAAGGCAAAGATATAAATTATTTTTTCTCAGTTGCATTAATTGAACATTATGTCTCCAACCTCTGCCGCAGAGATAACACTCAATAAAAACGGTTTGTGTGTGGTGTGTACCAGAGGTCCACGTTTCCACCTCATGGCTGGCACTGTCCACTCTTCTGGACAGCAGGGCTGTGTGCACAGCAGAAAGGGAAGGCTCTGGTTTTACAGCTTCATATCACCAGCCCCCCTGAGACCAGGAGAGGTTTTTACATAAGCTACTAAAATAACCTTTCAGCCTAAAGCAAACAAATCCATGTCTAGATTCAGTGAACTGGAGGCGAGAGAGAGAGACTGACCTTAAGACAACTCCTCCAGGAGAATCATGAGACCCTTCCAGGGACATCAGCGATGCTGGGGAAAGACTCACTGAGAATTAGTGAGGCTGTGTCTTCCATCTCCTCATTAAGCCCTGTCCTCCAGACACCTGTCTGTCCCCTTCCTGCTCCTCCAGGACCCAGAGGTGAAATCCGTGAGAGGAACACAGTGCCACCAGCTCCTCCCTGTCACTGCGGCAGGTCTGGTCCATCAAGGCGCAGAGGGACAATGGTGGTTACCTCCAAGGAAGGGTCGCTTTCCCATTAAACCTGGAAATCTAGACACTGAGCTTAACTGCTCTCCATCCCTGCAGATAGGCTCACTTCATCACACTTTCCTCAGTATGTAGAGGTGGGTCTTAGAACAACAGGTCCTGCTCAGGTGGCTAAGGGACAAGACCAGAGGCAACCAGCATGCCAGACTCCTCGCTCATTCATCAGCAGTGACATGTTCAGGTCAACAGTCCCTTATCTGAAACCTTTGGGCCAGAGGACTTTCAGAATTCAGATTTGTTATTTTTTTAAATTTTAGAAAGCTAATAAAATGCCCCAGCAGAGTCTGAGGAAGCATCCGATGAAATCATTAATACATTTTTGTATCAAAACATGAATATTCATACTAATCTTCTAGTTATGAATAAAAATTCCAGAGTTCTCAAGTGGGGGAATTTGGCACCATCTGGTTTACTTTCCTCCAGGAGCCATAAAAACCCGATCCCTGGGGGGACAAAGACAAGGGCCAGACAGGCGGGGCAACTGCCAAGACCCCAGTAGACATTCCCTGACTCAGGAGGCCGTGGGGCAGACCAGCTGAGACAGGGCCGGGCTGATCCGGAGAATCTCTGACACAGAGGATGCCTTCTAAGTTTGAGCCTCCCCGGCCCAAGAACCCAGAGGGAAATATTCCACAGAGCCCTCTGTATTCCGGGAATCAGTCCCCGGGACTTGGGCGCCTGGCTCCAAGGAGGACACGGCACACACCCAGCCACAGGCCACGGCAGTGCGGGCCGCAGCCAGAGTTCTCAGAGCCCGACCTTGTGTGACCTCAGCTGGCCGCACAGGGTGCCGGGCTAACCACACCTGGCTCTTTCGGGCCTTGAGATGCACGAAGGGCATTACGCAGCTGCTGTCTTCCTCTCTGCCCCTTGAAATGCCAGCACCCCCGGGGGCCACCTCCCACTCCCACCTGCTCTCTTCTCCCTCTGCGCTCCCAGACTAGCTGTGTCCACTCGCATGGCCTTGCCTGCCACCTTCACTCCAGCTTACATTTCAGGCACCTCCCCTGGCTGCCTCATGTAGCCCTCCCGCTGAGTCACGGCCTACTAATGCCTGTGTCCTTTCCCCGCATCGCCCCGCCGTGCACCTAGGTTACATGTGACGGGTTCTGGCCAGAGGGACGTGAGTGGAAATGCCACGCGTCCCTTCGGCGGGGGTGTTCAGCACCGATGCGCCCGCCCCACCTCGCCTCCCCTCCGAGATGCCAGGACAGGGTGGCGAAGAACCAAAACAGAAACCTTCTAGGTTCCGGAGTCACCACTTAGAAACAGCCGCTGCTGTGCGCTGAACTATGAGAAGAAGAAACTTACGTGGGGGGAAATTACTGAGAGTTGGGGATGACCCGACACAGCAGCGAGTGTTAAATGCCCCCATCCGCCTGCCTTCGCCATCCGGCAAGTTCCTGCTCGCTGTGCTCAAGGCTCCGATTCAAATGCCGCCTGCTCTGCGCAGTCCAGCTTCCACGGGAAGGGCGGTCGCTCAGTCCCGCGACCTCTGGCAGTTTACCCCCGCGTCTGGCAAGCAATTACCTGAATCTACGGACACATTTCAGTTTGCGAGTCGAGGCCCCACATCTGGGTGCTGCTGCTTCCAGCCCTGTACCCTCAGTGCCCTGCAAGTTGCAGACACTCAATACATTTGACTTGCTGAAGGGAAAATCGGAGCCTTGTTGCTCAGGTGACCGGCAAACCACAAGTCAGCATTTTCCCCCGGGCCTTCCATTCTCAGCATGTGCTAGGTACTGTGGTTGGCAGGAGGCAAGGTAAGTAAAACACTGTCACCCCCTCTAGGAGTATTTTTTTTGTTAATCCTCACTTGAGAATATTTTTTCCATTGATTTGTAGAGAGAGTGCAAGGGAGGGAAAGAAGAAGGGAGGAGAGAGAGAGAAACACCAATGTGAGAGAGACATATCAACTGGTTGCCTCCCCCATATGCCCCAACTGGGCCAGGGCTGGTACCTGCAACCCAGGTAAGTGCCCTTGACTGGGAATTGAACCCTCGACCCTTCGGTGCACTGGCTGATGCTCTAACCACTGAGACACGACGGGCAGGGCTCTAGGACTATTTTTTTATCTTTAGATCCTCTGTACCCCATTATCTCCCATCTTTATTAAAGGACAGCCTCCACTTAGAATTACCTGGTCTTTTCAGGAATTATCAGCCAAGCCACTTCTCAGAAAGCAAGATCAAAGAGGGTATTGTAGTGAGGAGATGAAAGCCGAACAGGGCTCTCTCTTGGCCCCTGAGAGCCTGCCTCAGCCAAGCCTGCCACCGTGTGGAGATGACAGCCTCGCCGTGCAGACACGTCATCACTGCTTGGCAAAGCTTCCCACACCAAAGGCACAAAACCCAGTCACTGGTCAGGGAAACAGAACACAGGGAACTAGCTAGAGTAACGTGTACTGGGAGTACTTCCCTTTCTCCCGATTCTCTCAAGGATGTGATGCAACCGTTAGTTTCAGCCCCAGGGAAATGGTGACCTTAAATAAATGATGACAATTATTAATGCAGTGTTTGCACAATAATTCCCACAAACTAACATTTTACCTGCTGCAAGTGTGGCTTTGCTGTGGACATTGAGATGAGCCACTTAATGTACATTAACCATGAGACTGGCTGGCAGTGTTGGCATCCCAGTGTTCAGACAAAAATGTCCCCATCAAAGAGCTGTGGCAAACCCTAGTGCCATACCCACAGCGCAGGAGAGCACAGTGGGGCTTCTAGGACTTTCAGAGCAGTGAATAGAACAAGGTTAGACTCTGCAGTAATGCTGGGATCTATAGACAATCAGTAAGATTAGAAAACATGAAAAAATTGGAGGCTTAACATAGCAGAATGGAATGGTAGAGCTTGGGAACATTGGGACAGTACATTTTTACTTTTTATTTTATTATTTATTTTTTATTGTTGTGAGTATTACAAATGTCCCCCATTTCTCCCCCTTTACCCCCATCCAACCATCTCCCAAGTACCACATGATCTCACTCATATGTGGAATCTAAGGAACACAAGAGACTGACGAACAAGATAGGACCACAGACATGGAAGCATGGAACAGATGGACAGGTCTCAGAGGGAAGGTGGGAAGGGCAGGGGGGAGAGATTAACCAAAGAACTTATAAGCATATATGCACAGCCCATGGACACAGACAATGGGGCGGGAGATGGGACAGTACATTTTGATGTTAAGTGTCACATGTCGTAGATAAGAGGTACATCAAGTCACAGGGGACTGTTCTTGGCTGGTATTTTTGTAGGTCACATACCATGAATAGAACAATGAATGTCCCCCCATCCAAGATACCAAGTACATATGTGGAAAACAATAAATTAAGTGAAAATAGCATTGCCCGGCAGCTTACCTTGAACGAAGATCCTAAACCAGTAGATTTTCCCAACTTGGTTGCCCCCAAGAAACACGAGGTTGGACAGGATCAGCATGGAGGTAGAACAGGAAGCGAAGGCAGCGTGGAACCGGCGGCGAGCCCGTGGGGAGAGGAACTGGGCCTGGGGGGAGGCAAGAGCACCTCATCGCAAGGGTGGAAACATAAGACTGAGACGTCACCAGCCCAGGGTGCCTCCCCCCGAGCCTGAGCTGTTATTCATATTAAAACCGTCACTTAAACAGGTCTCAACACTTCTGCTCCTGCAAGACGCTCATTCTGGTCTAAGGAAAGAAGTGCGGCGCCCCCCACGTTGTCGCTCCCTACGACCAAAATGGGCTTCCCTCGGACGCGTGGAACAAGTTCTGACGCTGGATGAGATGGGGCTGGCATGTCCCCATGCATTTTCTGCATGTAAATCTACAGGTACAAGAGCTGTTCAAACTGTTCTCCACGACAAGCACAGCTCCACGTGACTGAGGTCAAGATCGGGGTGGTCTTCGGGGCCAGCGTACTTGACCCTGGGAAGCCACCTCGTAACCCTGACCCACTATTAGGAGGAGTCCCACTAAGAGGGCGCAGGAGATCGGTACAACCTGACTCCATTCCTGGAGTCAGAGCTCAAGGCACAGGTCCCACCAGTAGCGAGCTTGCAGCAGCGACAGAAAACGGCGGCTCCTCACAGCGCCTGAAACGCTCAGGGGCTGGAGAGGGGTTCCCCTCACTGATGATAAAGGGTTCTGCGCAGCCATCCGAGGTCTTCGCCGCACTTTTCCCTCCCCTTTTAATACCTTCTTGAGGATTTCGCCAAGTCAGCGAAGCCTTTACTTCTCAGCACTGACCGACCCTTCTGCTGGCCCTCTGGCGTGAGGTCACAGTGCTGGGGCTGGAGGGTGTGAGCCGCGTGAGCACATCGCAGGGACTGTGCTTTGGGACTGTGTATTCAGAAGGAGAACCAGGTATAGTGCGACAGCCGGGCACACGGAGCCCCTGGGGTTCTGACAAACACCCCAGCCTAACCCAAAGACACAGAAAAGAGAGGAAGCAAAGGGTCTGGAGACACTTCTGAAAGCTGCACGTCTCTGGGGTGGTCGCCTGCATCTAGTTCCAGCTGCGCTCCAGGTAAACTAGAATTCTGAATTAGCCGGATCCCTGGAGGGCAAACAGGTCTGAGCTGGAGGGCGGGCGACTCTCCAGCAGGAGGCTTACTGGCTTCTGGGGACCCTGCTGTGGATCACCGGTGGCTATTGTGTCAGCCTCGGTCAGGATCCTCTGAAAGTCCAGAGAAATGAATTCCCAACACCTCCCCTCTTCTCTCCTGCCAGTCCCAGCACCTGTTCTGCACGCTCAGCTATAGCTGCTACCATATACCTCCCCATCCATGGCTGTCTCCTCCTGTGTCACCTGGGAGCATGGCTTTACTGCCACCGCAGGTGAGAGCGGGGCCTTCTCATGCGTGAGCTGAGCAGTGGGCACTGACTGAGCTGTCTGCTCTCCAGCGATGCTGATATGTCCCTGGTTAGAGGCCGCCACACAAGATGACCTCTGGTCTCTTTCCCTGCTCTAAGAAGCCACAGGCATGCACAGGCGATGCTGTCAAACAAGACCAGATGAGAGATAATTACACAGTATAAAACCTGGTAATGAAAGAGAAATGGGGACGAAGCAGGCTTGTAACTCTGAGCTCTTCACCTCTGAGGATCAGGAGACATGGATCTGCCAGTTTCTGCATTTTAGAGCAGAGGAAGGTACTTTCTGGGTATTACTGACTCAATTAGCAATAACTGGGGAGGCAGGATGAGAGGAGGCAGGGAGACAGTGGGGGAAAAAATCCAGAATAATAAACCAAGAAAACATGAATTGTCTTAATTGGCATAACTGTGTCCAAATAATTCTCTCCAGGTAGCAGGACATTCTAACACATTTGATTTCTAAGGGACCAGTGAGTCAGATACTCTGCTGCTTCTGTTTTAACCCCATTAGTGTCCCCAACCTTATTTCCTGTTTGGGGAAGTCCAAGGCCCCGTGTGATCTCTCTCTCATTAATGTCGATTACGGAGAGCGGACACAGCTTGGTTAAGCTCAGAGTGGTTCTCCTTTCATGGGAAATTATTACAATTATTAAATAATCAATAGAGGGGTACTGAAAGAAACGCTCTTTGCATTGGGTTGCTAAGCAGGGCTGTGGTGCTGGGTTACCTGGTACCGGGCAAAGGCAGGTTCTGTAGGAGGCACAGCTGAGGGGCAAGGGTGGTGCAAGGCAGGAAGCGAAGAAGAGGGGCTGCTGGAGGCGCAGGGCTCCTCTCCAGCACCCCAGGCCTGGTTCCTATGGATCTTCCCTTAATTCTCTGAGTACCCCAGTATCTCTCTCAACTCCATGAGTCAGTAAATTCCTACTTCTGCTCAGAGAAAAAAATAGTCAAAATAATAGAAAATATGAAGGAGCCTCTAGTCTCAGAAACAAGAGAGAAGACATCTAAAATCTGAAACAATTGACTACAATTTTTAGAGAGTTAATTTTTTTAAAAATAAGCAAGAATGTTAAAGGCACAGGCTGATGGAATCAATAAGCTAGAAAGACTTAAAGGAGAAATCAAGATGCTCATAGGCAGTTCTTAATTATCCCCCAGGGGAGAGTGGGAGGGAGACAAAATAGATGATGAAAACGAAAATCCAAAAACCTAATTTTAACTAATAGCCCGATCCTCTGAACTGAAAAAATTAGCCTTTCCAATGAGCAGCGCGCTCACAGAGCATCGCTTCCCTTCGCTGTGAGCCAGTGCAAGAGCAGAAGGATGGACTGACCATAAGGAAGGAGAGAGGGCCTGTCTGGGGAGTCCACAGGAGGGTGATAATTAGCAGCCAAGGGGACTTAAAGTCTAGGCTGCAACCATCTCTTCTCTCCAGATTTCCTGGAACACAGTAGAAGGGAACCGTTTTGACACTGGGGATCTCTTCAGCTCTGTCTTGGGAACCATCTGGCCTCGGATGCATTGCCCACGGACAAACGGTGTGGGGAAG